GGTACGACATAGGGCTTTTTGCGAGTTCTTCCTCTGATAACCTGAAAAGTCTATTAATTGATTGATTGTGTGAGAAACAGATCATTCAAAAGTTTGGTCATGCTCTAGGAGATTCACAAATGACCTCAACAAGTATGTACACTTCAGTAATGTTTTCAACGATCGATGCGAAGGGCCTATTGGGTTAGGATAAGCCTTTTCCTGTGAGTCCTACTTGTCTCTGGAATTTCGCTCCGCCATTCTGAGCCTTCAGAATTACTTATAAGGGAGGTGTTTGGTTACTGGGCAGCCTGTGGTCTAGAAAACTTTCTTTCGACTGTTCTCAAGGGACTGATGCGTCATTAGTTGAGCTAGTATCGACTTCTATTTTAAATCCACGCACTTCGCGACTCAGAAATTGATCACATTTGAGTGGCAGATTATTTCTACAATTTTCAAAAATTTTGTCCATTTTAATAATTTTATCCTGTGGACCCGACATTTTACAGCATTAACCTGCCTTTTACCCCGGATAAATTGCACCAGAAAAGTAGATTTGTAAAGAGCTCATACACCGCCAGTACAAGAAGTTGGGGGCATACGCCGTGTGTTGCTACATAAAGTCCTTTCTCTGCTACGATTCCTCAGCAGCTGTGTCGCATATGTTTTTCTTGACAGCATGCTCACCACAAGTGCTCACTTCCATGAACGATGTCAATACCTTGTCGAATAGTGTTAATGTGCTACGTGGATGTCTCGTATAGCGATACATAGGTGTAATCATAGCAATAGGTAGGTGTAATGATAGTTGTTGATCACAACGAGCCTACATCGTAAGATCTAAAGGTTTCCTACTCCTGCTGGCAAGTAATTCTCTCACACAGATTCCTTCTCGGCAGAATTCACAGCAAGGACAGCTTGGTTCCTTTTCACCTCAAGTAGCGAAGTCAACACTTTGCAAGGTGACTGTAGGTTTACAAATCCTTGGAAGGGCCTGATACCATCAAGGAAGACTGATGAAGACTGATTCTGTAGTTGTGGTTGGACTACCGAAATGCTGCTTGTTGTAGATTTGACAGATAAATGGCTCAGAGGTGGCAACTAGATAGCGGAATAGTACTGATCCCGGTTGGACCTTTCATATTTACATAGATCTATTTCTACTGTAGCATCGCTGCATTAGGGAACGATATTGATTGTTGATATTGTTTTATTGGTATTGGTTCTTTGATTGAAGCCCTGACGGTGTTTTGGGTCTTTCTATATCCCTGCACTTCTTTTCGTCTCACTCTCAAACCGAAAAAGTGATCGCTGACTGTGACGATTAGCGCCAAGTGGGGAAATGTCAAGGCAGTAGGGAACATCCGAATCGTTGTCTCATTCAATAGAAATCAATATTCACTTATGTTCCCATTTGAGCTTATAAGGATAAAGGATTTGAGCTTATAAGGATAAAGGGATAAAGTTTCTGGGCATTAACCAATCCCGCCTGATTGTGAAGAATGCGCCCCGCATTCAGCTTCCATTCAAATCGTAGTGGCGTATTGAATGCGTATGTGCCTATACAATCACTTGCGGTGCCAGCCTATGTACAAGTCAATGCTTTTATCCCTTCAGACGAGTCTGGCACCAATTAACTGACCCTAGAGGGATAAAAGGCTTGCTTGCTCGCTTGGGCGGATATCGTTCCGGAATTCGAACCTGTGATAATGCGTTTGAGAAGCACGCCTCTCCCCCTACACTACCTTCGCTCTAGGTATGACATTATGAAGAC